GAGGGACTATAAAGGGCAAGGGTACATCCTTTGTAATAAGAGAGACCTAAGTCTGAGGTCTGCCACTTACTAGCTACTCAGCTTTATGCAAATTACTTAGCCTACATGTCATTTGTCTTGGCTAAAAGAATGGGATAATAATTGCTTCATGTAAAACATTTCATGCAGTGCCCAGCACTTAAGAATTCTAATAAATACTGGTTAGAATTATGGCTCCTTTTAAACATGGTTTTTCTCAAAGGAAAAATATCTCAGTGATGAAAAGTCTAGTAGTAGAATAAGCATGCCATGGGAGTTTTGGGATCCCCTTTCCATGGTTTCATCATTATCATCAAAATATAGCCCTGAATGCCCACATTATAGTACCATCTGCAGAAAGGAGACAGGGCCAGGGGGTGGCCCGCTGAGGAAGTCAGAGCAGTCTACACTAGGAATTGTTGCAAACTAAGTGGGCATGTGTTGACTATGCCCTCCGGGAAAAGCATTCATTACAAAACCACTTATATGGGCTGGTAGATGTATTGTCAATACAAAGCAGGACCAACATTTGGAGTTCAAGTTATTACTTATAAGAAGTCCAAGGAATTTTTACTTCACATACCCCTTATCAACTCATGAGTTTCAAGAGCCCACAAGCAAAACTGAATCTTCTGTGCATTTTATAACCCCACCACTCTTAATTACCTGCCAATTGGCATTAATTTCTCTGGTGAGGGAGGGAAACAGAAGGGGTGACAGGAACCACAAAACCTTGTGTTTTAAGACAGGTTTGGAAGTGGCTCACAGGGCCTCCTCAGCCATCGGTACCCACACAAGTGTATCTCCAATATCGTGTCAAGGTTTTTCCAGCCCTCCTTTCCTTTTGCCATTCTTTCATAATTGGTCATGATCACACCTATTACTCTGATATAGATATGTCAGTACTAATATATGAAGATGTATTAGCACATAAAGTAATTAGAGGTCTGTTTTATCCTGGGACCTACTTCAAAATTAGAGTACAATCATCATCTCATGGTTTGGTTTAGTGCAGGACGTTAGGATGATACACTTGCACTCAAGGGTATTCACCTAGTAGCTCTGAAAATAAGATATCCGGGAATTGCTGAAGACTTGGGAACATGATATGTGGAACATTTCCTTATGTTCCTATCCCTTCTTGCTCTATTCACCAGTTCCTATTTGTATTTAAGAAACAAGTATTTGAAATTATTTAGGCATAAAAAAATTCCTTTCCAGTTTTTACAATGCCCATGCCTATCCTCAAGTTTGTGATAAATCTTATCAAGTATAACAATGATTTCCACATGTTGAAAGATATTCCAGTTGTATTAGAATGCCAAGCAGTTCATGAGTGGGGTCATTATTGCAATTCCAACTTAGCATATACAGCAAACCAAGATATGAAGACACTTCTACATGTTAACCAGTCATGCAGTGAAAATACAGCCGCATTTTTTCCTTACAAGTTATCCTACCTTTCCCAACAACTCACCAAATCCCACTTTCCAACTGTATATAATTAGATAAGTAAGCTTTATAGAATCAAAACAAAACTCAAATGCACAATGTATTTATTTCTCCCTACCTCTCCTAAGTGGATTATCAGAATAGCCAGAGGAATTGTGTGGTTTAATATTGATATAGCTGGGAAATAAAGAAATATATGACTCCCATCAAACCAGTTTTTCTAGAAAGCAAAGTGATGAAAATGCGAAATAAAAAGGAGGCTCAGGTGGTGCATAGGATTTCTCTTTGCACAGTCTAACTGGCATGAACCCCTCCAGGCTACCCCAGGCAAACTGGCTGTCGGAAGTTTTGGGCACTGGTGCAGATCTAAAACAATCTTCTGGCTCAGAATCTACTTCTACTTGAACTTTATAAACATTTTTAGGTAGCAGGTCCTTATAAGTATGTTCTACAGCATCCAGACATTCAACCAGGGCCAAACCTAGGCCACTTAAATGGAATCATAAGGCGCTCTATTTGCAGGTGACTTGGAAAGAAAGTAGTTGCAGTTCTAGGACTGTGCTTATTAAATAAGACTCTCATAATTACTTAAGTATTAATGTTAACTACATCACGATCTTTGGCAAATACCCACAGCAAAGTTCAGAAGAGTTCTTACAAATAAGTTTTAAAATTTTCCAATTTTCCATTTGAATGGACTGGTGTTGACTGAGTTGAGTGTGCCCTTCTACATGTACACCTTTGCTCAATGAACAAACAAACCCAAATGTTTTATTTCATCAGCTTCTTCCTAACTGGTTATCATCCCTGAAAATGGAGATCGTAATACACTTCTTCAGTTTCACTTGCTGAGTGTTCTCCCAACCCCAATCCTAAAACAAAAATCTGCTGGCAAACACAAATCCTCCTCTTTTCTCTGCCTCCTTAGCCTCACCTCCTAGCTTTAAAAAAAAACGTCAGAAAGAAAAGGCTATTTCTTAGAAATCAGCTCAGAGGCTGATGAAAGGGTTGAGGTGTTTTACACACAACTGGATTTGAGACACGAACAGCTCTGTTTCTCTAGATTCGATGGGACATAAAGTCTTTTCCTTTCACTTGTTCTTTCAAAACCACAAACACTAGATACAAGTTTTATTGTCTGCCTCTTTTCCAATAAGGGTTAAGTACATACAACTAAATTATAATCCTTCTCCCACTAATTAGAAAACCAGGAAGTTGGATTTAAAGTGTTGTCTGTCCTCCTGCTCCTTGGAAGAACTCCCAGTCTTTGAATTGACAGTGCAGCTGTTGACTGAAAATTATACAGAAAGATTAATACATTCTCCAACTCATTTTCTGCCAGGCAAGTTGACAGTAAGGGTTTATAAAATACTTGTATTTAAATAAAGGCAATGCCCATTTATATCCATAAGAAACTAACAAAAATAATTTAGATGTAGAATGAAAACCTCAATTTTCATTTCAACTCAGTACTAAATGACACGAGTGTCCTGTGATGACCAAATGCTTGGACAATGTAGGGTGACTGCCATCATTGAGCCAAAACATGATCACATGCTTCACTGGCTCCTCAAAGCATGTTAGCTCTGCCAGGCAGACGGGAACAGGATGCTGGTGGCTTCTATCAACACCCAGATGACATGTGAGAAAGAGTGGAATTTACAGCCATAAATCTTTCAGAAACAAAGTAAATCTGCAACTTACCATAATTTAGGAAAAATAGAGAAAACATGTACAAAACAGTATTATGGTGCAAGGAAAAGAACTGAACTAGCAGTGAGATGTGGCTTCTGGTATCAGCTCCTGACCAACCTTGGGCAAGCCTTTCAACCACTCTGAACACGGGTACCCTCACCCACAGAACTAGAGTAGGCTTGACATCACTCAATGGTCTCCAACTGTCTTTCACTGGGGATTAAGTATTTTAGATTTAAGGAGGGAGGGGATTTTACTCCACTGTCATATTTTAATGCCCATTACACATTTAGTCTCTATAGCTTTTTAAATATGGTTGATACTTTGAAATCCTTGCATTTAGGCCTCAATGAAAATCCTCACACAACTAACAATAACTAATATATTTAAGACAGAAAATAATGTCGATATTCTTCAACTTCTATAATGCAAGCTGATACTGTTAAAACTGAACTTTCTCTTAAATAGAAAAAAAAAAAATCCTTGCCAAGGTATCAAAATTCGGTGGTTGTTAAGGGGTCACTACAAATCTGCTAGAAATTTCCCAATACACAAATATCTGAACTAAAAACTACCCATAAGCTATCATGTTTTATTCAAAATAATCATGTGCTATTTATATCTTGATTTGAGAATCTTTACGGTGATACACATGACCAGTTTGGATTTACACTAGAATTGTGTGAAATCTAATGCTTGTAATAGTTAAGAATGACCACTGATAAATACTAAACAACAGTTCAGCTGATTTACCTAGACGTTTGCTGTAAAGCCAAAATTTTCAATGGCTCCTTCATGTTGACAGAGTAACATGTATTACATATATAAAGGCAGTCTTAGCATTAACTGTAAAGTATGTTCCCCATCATATTCATAACAGCCAATTTATTACACCTTTTCCCAGTGGTTTCACTAAAAAGTCGAGGTTAAAAAAATAAACCACCCATGAATGAAAGACCAAGAGATTACAAGACAATACTATGTTTGAGGTAAGATGTGACCATGTCAATAAAATAAGTGTGCCAAGTAAAATTTCTCAATTTTTCCACAAAGAACTTTCTTTGTACTATAAATAGGCTTTTCTCTAAACTTATCCTTTGAAAACTCCACTCTTAAAGCAGAATAAGTTATTTCAGGAATTTTTCTTCTGATTAGAGAAATATGTGACAAGAACAATTCTGAAGCACTTTTCTCTTAAAAAGCTTTGGTTAATATATTCTTTAGTGTCCACATTTGTACACCAAAAACAAAATTTTAATATATTATTCTTGAAATATTTAAATTGGATAAAGCTCTTAGAAGGCATTTTGTAGCATCCTACACACTAGATTCCATTACTCAGTTTAATCTTTAGACACCTACTTGTGCCATGGTCTGTAGGACAGAGAATTCTATTAAAAACTGAGTTTCTTGTTTAAAGTAAGCACCATCTTTGATACTGTTTATTAAGAGCTATTTAAGTCCCACATGAACAGCTATATTTGACTTTTACTGAAACTACCAGTAAATGCCAATATCATTCTGATTTATGAAACTTCAACGTTTTTGGTATGTGAAGGAGTTCCGGTTTGACCTTGCAGTGTGAATGCTGTGTGCACCACAGCAGCGGCTTCCCGGGGAGTTGCTCAGCAGCTGTCACATTTCCCAGCAGGACAGGGTGTAACATTCCTTCCCTCACTGTGTTTATTTAACGCCACACTCTAACTCTTAGGGCATGCAGTCTGCTAAAAACTTCAACCAGTATCATTCCCTGCTGTGTACCCTGTAGTATACTCCACAGTTTAAGTATTTTTATCATTATAATCTCTTAATAACAAACAAATAAAAACACACTATTTTATGCTATTTGGGTCAAATTAATTTTATTATGCTCCATGATGAATTGCCACCAGTGCAACATCTTATTTACTATACATTTCAAAAAAATTCACATACTAAACAAAATTTCAGTTGATAAATGGAAACAAATGATTGAAAGTCTTTATGAATCTCATACATACAATATGTGGCTAGCTGATATTGTCTATCACGTAGCATCTAGATATAAAAAGCCTCATGCTAGTTTGTTAAACGCGAAGGCTGTCAGACAATCATTTAGCTGGAGCATATGTGGGAAGCTTTCAGACGGCGCACAGGTAGAGTGCTGCCCGCGGGGCAAGGCGGTGGAGGGCTGACACATGCAACCTTTACATAGAAAGTGGATTTGCTCTTCGTGCCTGGACTGAACTCACAGCTGCTGTGTTTTAACCAATAGTAATTTAGGCTTTGTGCAACAGCAACAAAAAGTCTTTTTTTCTTTAAGAAGAAAGAATAAATTCAATTACCTTTGAAAAATTTTATACCCATCTTACAGGCTTAAAATTGTGCTTCCAATTTAAAAATTATAAGTAACTCCAAGAGAACTGATGTCTCTGCTCAGAGCAAGCTCCTTGTAAATATTTATCGTACCAAAGTTAGCTGGGAAACCCTGAATTCCTTGGACAAAAGAGAGAGATCTTAAATTGGCATTACCTTAAAGACATTTCTGGGACACTTAAAGTGTTTTTATAATGTCAAAAAGAAAAAAAAAGTGAAGTGTTTAATATTACTCAAAATATAATAATGTTCTATTTACCATTTGCACAAATTCCTAACTTTATTGGCTAGTAGTTGTTCAGCCTCACCCACACCAGACTCACTTAGCTCAAGCCACAATAAAAATGGGAGTAAGCAGAAGAAGGTTTCCAGCAGCAGAGGGCACTGTTTTTGCAAGAAACAGAAAGTCTGGACTCTTTCCCATGTGCTTAAATTACTCTTGCAAGGAAGTTAACATTCTTTGAATAACTTAACTATTTTACTGCACCACTCACTGCTTTCAACAACAAAACCTTTTAAATTATTTCTTACGATAACTAGATGCATGATCACTAGAGATTATGTGCTAACTGGTTAAAAATTCAAGCCACATCTTGCAGGTCCAGCCTGTCAAGATCATGCCAATACTAGATTTTGGTCGGTATAATTCTAAAGAGCTTAATTTTTAGTTGGATATTGTGACTACAGTAATGAAATACATTTGGAACTACATTCTGCATATGACTCAATGTGAGAAAAATATGTATCTGTATTTAAATCAGATTTTTCTACCTATAATTTAAAGTAGGTAGGCATATGATAATTAGCACTATAAATATGAAACAACCACCTTTAGGCAAATTAGTGTACTGTAGAGAGGCAAGGAAACCCTAATGTCAACACATCACTTGGTATATATAACAAATGTGCAGGTTGTAAAGTTTTATTTTTAAAAAAGCTTATCATTCAGTTATGTGTTTCAAGAAACTTGATACTGGGATCACCAATCTTTTAAGAAAAACTTAACCTTTCACCTGATATTTGACAAAAACCTTGAGAAATTATCAAATTAAAAAAAAATAGATCCAGCATTATAGTATTTGTCAAGAAGATTAGATTTTATGGTTGGTATTTCTGAACACCTCAATCCACACAGATTGCAAAACTAAAATATATAATTTTAAAAAGGTTGATTTTATGATATATTTAACCAAATAGTGAAGTAACCATAATATATAGCCTGCTTCAGATCATGTAGAATGAAATTACTCTGGAGACCTCCCAAATCCCAATAACTTAAATAACTTTTCTGTTTTAGAATACCAAAAATATTTTTTTAATTTTTGCCAAAAAGAGCCTGCCACATTTGCTATAGCATAAAAATAACCTAAGTCAAGTACAGATATGCAAGGGCTCCTTATGATTCCAGCCTCCACATGCCACTTCTGTACAACAGGCAATATTGCTGTAAGAGGTGTGTTACTGACTTTCCTGACTGGCATCTCTGTAGTAATTTTATGTAGAGCATATTGCTAAAATTTGAGAAATAGCATTAATGTAGTGATGTCTAGAGAACTGTGCAATGTATCAGCTTTGACATTCATGTAGCAGTGTGTTCAAACGGAGGGGCTAAATAAACTGAGGTTTGTATCACTTAAAAAAGAATGTAGTGCTATACTAGATTTTAATAAGAAAATTTTAGGTACAGAAAAAGTAGGGTATGAAAATAGTGTTTTCCTTCTGGCATTATAACTAAATTACATTAAGGTTTTTGTCAGTCTCACATATAATATTTAAACTCCCTGTTGATGGAATGAAAAATATTCACAAATTAAGTGAGCATCCTGGTGTAAACTTGCACACAATTACAGGGAGTAAGTAGCTCTGCAGACATTATGACAAACCTTTACAGATTAAATGAGGTATTGCACAGATTAATAAAAAAAAAGCAAAAAGGCAACAAAAATATACAGCAAATTGGTAAAACATTTACATGATAATTTTACAGAATCCATAGACAGAAAGTAGTGTTTAGTATTTCACCTTAAAAATATATATATAATATATAGATCAGTCTTCCCATTCATCATCATCCTCAAAATCTTCTTCATCGTCTTCATCCTCATCTTCATCTAGAAGAAAGTCATTGAGACAGACAAAGCACATGTATAAATAGAAGAATACCACATAATTGTTAGGCGACTCTCCAATTATTCAACTTGTGAAACAAACCATTTGATTCTTGGAGGAACTTATTTATTAAGATAGTTTAAAATAAATCTAATATACATGTAGAGAGGTGACGGTGAGCTAAAAATTAGAACAGGAGTCAGAAAACTTGGGTTCTAATCCCACAGTATCAATGTAACAAATTTCAAACTGTTTCTGTATGTGTAAAATCACATTTGGGTTGGCCTCTCTGCATATAATATTCTTACACTGCAAACCCAATGAAGCCCCCTTTAATGATTTCTTTAAAGAAAAGTTGTAAGGAAGATAATCGACATACTGTTCAGCTACCAATTCCAGTTACAATTCCACTGATAGGCAGGAACCTCAGTGATGCTTAAGCCATAACAGAAAAAGAAGGCAGTCCCCAAATCCAGTCTCCTTTCTAACTTCCACTTCTCTCTTGAACCAACTGACACTGGTCGTTCCAATGACCTTTTGTTGCTAAAGCTAAAGTTCAATACCTGTTCTTGTTTTCTTGATCTATCACACATTTGATCCAGATGATCACTCCATCCTCCTTCAAACACTTCATCTGCCTTCTAAGTTACCATATTTATAACCACTTCTTTGATGATCTCATGCGATTACCTAGTTTCTCAGCCCCAACTCTCACAAATGAGGGAAACCTCCTGAATTTCTGAGATCACAAGAATGTCACAGGAATGAGTCCAGAATCCCAAGCCATTTGCCTGGTTGTTTTCCAGGCATTCTATTTGTATTTCCAGTACAGGAAACAAAACTTCCATTTTTCCCAAGTTGTTCTTCCAACTTATGGTTACAGCTATGGTGTCCTGGCATCCACTAAGCTTCAGGTAGTCTAGTCACAATGGCAACAATTATTTAAACTATGTATGAGTAAGTTATTTAACAGCAGGGAAAAAAGCTAGCCAAGTCTGAGTAATGAAATAAAGTGTAAAACTTCAAATATTCAAATTTATTAAATATACATATACACATGCAAATATACCTGAAGAATGAATGGCTTTGCTCCTTTTCTGCATCACTTCCATTAACGCACCCACAATTCCTGAAGTGGGTGCAGGTGTTGGCGGTGTAGATTCTTGGCCATCAGATACCTTAGAAAAGAAAGTTAGAAAAAGTGAGCAATACTTAACAAGAAAAAGAAAAGTATATCTAGCATATTATGCTGAAGTCTCCAAAATTCTTACTTTCTTAGAATCACTTACAATAAAAGAAAAGAGGAAGAAAAAGAAAATAAAAGGGAAAGAAATAGAGAAAGAGAAAGAAAAGGGAAAAGGAAAAAGGAAAACAAAGATAAGAAAAAAAGGCAAACAATGAAGCCCAGGACAGAATTAACTACATTAAGAAGAAATAAACTCTTGCCTTGAAAGAATTACTGAGGATTTATTTCCTCTGCTTAGTGCAGAAGCCATAGGCACATTTCCAAGTTTAGAATAACCCAACCTTCCCCTGAATAACACTTGCCCTTGTAGCTGGGTTACCTCTGTTCATGCTAATACACAACGCCTTAGCTGGTGAAACATTAAACTACTATCAAGGGACTAACTTGTAAAACTAAAGTAATATTTACTCTTAGAGTTGTTGGGTGAGAAGCACCCTTAAGATATCTAAGAGCAATGTTGTATTTAAACTTCATATGGCATAGTTATAAATAAACATAAATGATAAATATTGTAATTCAAAATGACCTTTCTCATAATATATAACTTCTCTTCAGGGAGATTAGTTGGGTAGCTTTCAAAATATACTTACTTAGAAGGCAACTAATTATCCCTAACTAACATACTTCTATCTAATACAAACTATATTTGGGGGAAACAAAATCAGTATCACAGGGTCTCATTAGAATTTAACATCTATACAAAATAGTCCCTGATTACAACACTCATTAATAAAGAGAGGATACAGGAACTCTGCAGAGATTCAGGGTTAAAAAAAATTATAAAGTTCTGCTCTTAAGTATACTTAACTAAAGTAAGCAGTCACTTACGTAAAATCTTTATTTTGTTCAGTTTGTCTCTATTCTTATATTATCCATGTAAAGGTTTAATATTACCAATATTAAAAACAAAGCAGCATAGTTGTTCTAAATAATGACACATGTATGTATATAAACCATTTCCTAAAGAAAAATTATTAGGACAAACTTTTCATTTTGGTCTTTACAACTCTTCTAATACTACCTATCTTTCTAGACATAAAGATCTTTTTTTCTTTTAGAATTATTCAAAGTAGTTCCCTACAAGATACAGACTTATTATTAGTATTTAGGTCTTAGAGACTGCATATTAACTATTAATAGTATAGAAGTGCCACAAATGAAAAAGACAAAAGAAATCATTGCAGAGCTTTGAATTTTAGCCTGAGGCTCTCAGAGAAGTTTAACAGCAGCAGGAAGAGGCTTTTGACTCGCTTTAAGCAATCCGGTAACACAAAGCTGAGAGCACTGCAGGAGCCCAACGCTGTCACAAACACGTTCCCTGAGGCTCTTGGACATAGTGCTAGCTGAGGTACAAGGGATACAGGATTCACAAGGTATGTAAGTGAATACTTACGTACTTCCTGCCAGCCTTTTAAAGTAAATCTGTCGCTTTATGTTACTCACACTCACCATTGAATAAACTGATAATTTATATAGACTATTTTAAGAAACAACTAGGAATTTCAACCAGAGAATGGTTATTTTTTTGAAATAATGGACTCAGATCACATGTATAATGTGCCAATAATTCACTGATTATGCCCTCTACAATAATACTCTGAATGCGATCCAAAAGTAAGTGATTAGCTAGAACAAAAATGACATACATTTAGAATGGAAACTATTTTTCTCTCTCAAGAAACTTACAGAACAATTTACAGGGATTTTGTTTTTGTGGGATGGACTGGGATAAGAAGTGATGATGGGGAGAGTAAATAAGAAATTTAACTCACCAATTTTTAAAATTAAGAATGCAAAAGTTAACTCATTAAAAAATAACACATTATCACTAAATCAGAGAAAGAAATAAAAGTTACTTGTGGAGAAGAGAGGAAAAGAGAAACAAATGGTAGGTTAGGAGTGGGAGGTGTGGGAATGAGTGACACAAGAGCTAGCACAGATTCTAAGGTAAGCACTGAAAGTACATGACCGCATTAAACCCGCTATTCACCTGGGCTTTGGTCATTTTGATGCTAATTCTCCATGCTAACAACTATTCAAAGTTCCTCAAATCCTCCTGAGAAATCTTTAGTCTGAACTAAACAAGCAGGAGGAGCAGAGATGATTGCTCACAAGCTATAAGTTTCATCCTGAATACGTAATCAAGAGGAAATTTAAATATATTTTAAAGATCAGAAGGTTTTTTAAACCTGTGCTGTGCTAATGTTTAAATGTTTTCATTCAATTACAGATGGATAGTGTTCTGTATCCATCCCTGTCTTCCTAGCCAAAGCTTCTGAGATTTAAAGTTAGCTCAATTCCCCACATCACAAAATTATTTTCAATTAAAATCTCATTTATTCTCCATATACTACATAGAAAAGTCATTACCTTCTGAAATTCTGCAAAGCAGAAGTTCCTCTTGGAACTGACAGACTACATATAAAGGCCCAGAAGGAGGTATGTGAATGTGAGCAGGTCAGGCTCCAGGGCAGGGGTCGGCAAACTACCGTCCACAGGCTGAATCTATCTGCCCAGTTTTTGTACAACTTTTTAAAAACTACGAATGATTTTTAAATTTTTTAATGGTTGAAGGAAAATCAAAAGAAGAAATTTTCTGACATTTCAAAATTACATGAATTCAAATTTCAGTGGCCATAAATAAAGCTTTATGGAACACAGTCACGCCCGTTCACTTACATACTGTCTATGGCTGCTGCTTTTGTGGTACTGCAGCAGAGCTGAGAAGCTGCAACAGGCACTATATGGCCTGCAAGCCTAAAGTATCTACTATTTGGTCCTTTAAAGAAAAAGGTCTGCCAACCTCTGCTCTATAAGATTAAATGATCAACTCCTTTTCCAATTCAGATTCTAAAATTATCTGCCATCACTATCAGATTTTCTGTGGAGTCTGATTGTCTATTAATCTGAATTTCAGAATACAGAAACTCTGGAATATCGTTTAGTTTTCATGAAGTTAATAGTCTGAATTTACCAAGGTAATTACAACTGGCTTCATGAAGGGCTATTTTTACTTCTCCATAGTTTTAATAAAGATTTTTCTTTAAACATACTTTTATTTAAAAAGTAGGTCTAAACCAATGAATTGCAAACATACTGTAACATTCCATTTATATGAAGTTTGAGAGTAGGCAAAACTAATCTATGGTTTCAGAAAACAGATCAGTGATTCCTTCTGAGAGGGGAACTAACTGGGAAGAGCCATGAGGGAACTTTCTGGTTGATACTGTAATCAGGCATAGGCATAAATTTGTGTATTTTATAATATGTAAAAATATCAAATTCATGGGGTTAAAAAGGTGAACAAAGAAATTAAAAATGTATATACTTTTCAAAGATGCCTTATAAGTAAGTTTCAAATTCCATTAGGACAAATAGTCTAGACTGAAAAGGACAGCTTACTTACAGATTTCAGCTGAATACCCTGCCGTATCTGGTCTAAAAGTGCATCCCTTCCAGAGCAAGACACTGGTCGACTGTTCTGTTCCACCTTTTTTAGTTGAGCACCCTCTCTAATTTGATCTAAAAGAGCTGCTTTGCTTCCGGCTGGAGCTGAAACTGGCTGGTCACCATCAGATGGGAGGCCAGGGGGAGGCGGTGGCCCTGGTGGAGGCGGAGGTGGAGGTGGGGGTGGTGGGGCCACGGAACCAGCCGCAGACAGGGGTGGTGGTGGTGGCGGAGGCCCTGAAGGTGCGGAAGAGGGAAGAGCTGGAGGTAGAGGAGGGTACATCCTATTTGGTGGAGGTGGAGGGACTCCCACGCCCGGCCGGGAAGGCGGCGGTGGTGGAGGTGCAGCGGTGGGGGCTCTGGACGGCGGCGGCGGAGGAGCGCCTCTTCCCCTGGCTGGAGGGGGAGGAGGGCCTGAGCTATGTGGAGGGGGAGGAGGAGGCGGCGGCCCTCCCCTCGACGGTGGTGGAGGTGGCGGTGCTGAAATAAAAACAAAAAAATAAAGAGTGCTTTCTACCCCACAAACATCATACTGACAAAAGCAACCCATTTCAACATGCATACAAAAAAATAATGCAAGAAAAAAAAAGACCTAATCTTTGTATTTTATTTTGCAAAGGTATCTGAGCACAGATGGTATCTCACAATTCTATTGGGGAATACTCAGCTAACAATCATTTTCCTGTTGTTCCTTTAAAATATACCAGCTAAAACTGTTGAATTTAGTTTTTCGGAATCAGTACTACTTCTGAAGGTAAGAGAATAAATACTTTCTTATATTAGTAACAAACATAACGAAGTTAAGTATTTTGGTCAATGAGCATTACTTTCCATTTTAATAAAAATTAATGGGTACTTTCCTTTAAAGAATCAAGTCTATTTAGTTGTTTTATGAAATTAATTCACATTCAGAATAAAACCAATGTAGCATAACCCTTTAAAATATATTTAAGTTAATCTGAGCTAAACCTTAATATTTTTTCTTTTAAAATGTAAACCTTCATAACCAAACTTACATTTGTACCTTATAAAGTCCTTTATTTTCTGCATATATAGAGTATCTATAATATTATATAATATGTAATATGCAACAATATATAATATCCTGTATTTGTAAAAGATGCTCAGCATTCTAGTGATGGCATTAAGGGAAGTTGGTTGCTCAGATGAAATGTTCAACTACTTATTCAGGAAACGTGAACTTACTATTAACAAAATAAAAGGTAATTTCTACATATTTTAAAATTAAACTAAACTAATAAAGTATTAACATTCTTCTGGTAATAATGATGCTGACTAATGACATTCAATATCTGAGTAATGATATTCTTTTCTACTTATGTGAAAACTTAAGATATAACAGAGCAACAAATTCAAAGTACATATGTATTATATTTCCAGAGGCATGGTTCTACCAACAGTATACACATATTTATGTAATAATGAACTTCATTTTCCCATTCAAACTGAATAGAAAAATTAACTAAAAATCCTAGAATCCCTAACAGTTATTGGTATTTACTGATACAACCGATAATATATTATTGATGGATATATTTCTAGTCTATACAAATACAAATATCTACCTTAATTATAGTTAACAGTCTTAGATGCTTAATAATGCAATGATAAGAGAAAGGGAAAAGAATTCCCACATTTCAAAGGAAATAAAACAGTATCTTCTAATTTCATTTGGGACAATCATGAGAAACATGCTATAAAATACACTATCAAATATAATCATAAACATTAGGTAAAATATGCAGAAAGGTCAATATGCATTAGGGTATTGTCTCCTGGCACAGGAACTTTTAAAGCTGGAAATAATATATGGCTGCAAACACAATAGTTATCCTACTTAGATGTAGGCTATCACAGAGGGAAGCTCCCACGATTTATACAAAAGGCATATTGAAGATATGGTGTTGGAGGTAAGGTTTGCTCAATTTTCTTACTGGATCCAAAGCAAGGAAACTTAAACTTACTAAAAGCAAAATCCTTTTCTAACATACTCATAATTTTCTAATAAGAGGGCATGGGGTATATGTATTACATATGCTCCCTTGAATAAGACAGTACATCAAATTCTTCAAGCAGAAACAAAAACTCCATTTTAAGCAGTTTTAGGTATATTTCAAATACCGATGGTATTTGTCTAAACTGGCATATTTATGATTTAGTTGTTTGTTAATCAAGAAAAAAAGGACCCATCTATTCTACTACAAAAGATAGTATAGTCAGTCCTTTCTTGTGGTTTCACTGAGGACTCTGAATCCAAAATCTTCAATGTGCAAAATGATGTATTATTTCAGTAGAAAGAATTGAAGTTCGTTTGAACTTGTAGTAAGTATACTTATTGGAATAATTTGGGGCCCAGCTAATATCCACTTAGATAGACAGTAAAGCATTGCTCAGGGAAAAGGAAAACCTTTATTTTATAGTGAAAGAACTACATTTGCATCCAGTTTCAGTACAGCAGAAATTTAGCATTTCTATTCTTTTGAAAAATGACTGGAAATGTTTCTATATTTTTGTAAAGAAAACACTTATTACCAACTTCCTATTTTTATAGTCTGTATTATATCTACATAAGAAGGGAAATATGCAAAAGACATGCCATATCCCAAGGTAAAAATGTTATTAAAGAGTTAAGACGGGAGAAGAAAGGAGAGATAACATGTTAGTTAGGTTCACATGCACAAAAGCATCTGATAAGCAGACACAAGACACTACTGTGAGGAAGTTGGATAGCCTACAGATTTTCAAAACTCGCAGAGTGATCACAAACAACAGAATCAGAATAACTAGTATTTCTTAGATCTTTAAAATAGAAATAAAGTGAAATACATGAAACAAAAGTTGTAACAAAAACTTACTAACAAAACTTAGTTAAAAAGGAAGAAAGCCTGATGCTTATAGAGAAAACCTTGTCTTGATGGTACACTATAGAGAAAAGCTGATATACCTAAAGATAATTATTACTTCAGATCAATATTAAGAGTAATTGGTAGATATTGCTCTAGGTATTCAATTTTTATCTGGAATTATAAATAGAAATTATGAAATAATTATAAGCATAAATTTTAAAATAATTATAAAATAAGAAAATACTATCAATTAAAGACATACAAACCAGTACTGAAAAGAAATACAATATTATAAAATTCAGGGAACATTAAAGAGCTGTTCCCATACACTCTCATCAAGATAAAACAAATCGAAAAATGTTATTCAACACAAATTTAAATTTATGGGAATACTGACAGATCCCTAAGAAGGCATTTTTATTTACATTTACATGCTTACATTTAGTCCTCCTCATTGCCCCAAAATCAATGTAAATATAGGCTAATGAAATGTCAAGTATGAAAAGCAATCACTAAAAAAATGTATAATAAATAATAATAAAAACAACAGTGGTGCTGTGGGTTGAGTTGTTTTTAATAATCCAGAGGATTTCAAATTATCTAAATTACAGATGAAATAGGAGCTCTAACTCACACAGAAATAAATTTTCCTTTTACTTTAGTATCTATATGCCCAAACATTGGTATAATACAGGGCAGAAAACGTTACTGGATGTTAGATCTGGAGGCAGTTACTTGTTACTTTGTCTGAAAACAAACACATCAAGCATGCAAGATTTAGGTCACCAGGTCAAACAACACCCCACATACATACCACTCCACTGTGGTGGACCTACAGAGCAGATTATGATGAGTTAATGGACTTGGAATAATTGCACAGACACACAGAAAAAGACATATCAGAAATCCCAATTCTACTATATTTTATAAACCTGATTACATGCTTTCACAAAATGAGATTCAAGAGATTTGATTTTGTAGGTTTTACAAAACATATTTTAAAGACTTCATAAACTTCTAATTTTTTTTCACACTTCTTAACATATTATATTCTTGCCTAGAAAACATTTCCTTAAAAATCATTAACTTGTTTTCTTACTCCTCCTCTAAAAAAACTTACCTTTTATAAAATCATTCTTTAGTATATAAAAGGTTCCAAGCTGGGAGTTAGATTCTTGAGTATAAGAATTTAACTTTGTTTCCAAAGTATGTTTTTTTAATGCCTATGTATTTTTGTCTGTTATAGGTAATTCAATTGGGGAGGGACCTTGTCTAATTTGATGTTTTTAAAACAACTAGAATAAAAAAGCACTAATAATAAAGTTAAAAAACAAACCCAGAGAAGGCTTTCAAGGATTGGATTAAAGATGGCGGTGTGAGAGGAGAGACAGGGGCTTCCTCCTAAAACTGGATACAATTAGAAAATATAGTTGGCACAACTAATCGTGAGAGAGCAACAGGAAAGAGGATGGCGTCAGACTGCACACACCTGGAGAAAAGAGCAGACCTCAGTGAACGGGGTAAGGTAACAGAGCAGCAGCTCCGCGGGACCCGAGCCCTTCCACCACCCAAGCTCACTGCAGGAGGAAGAGAAACAGAGCAGGGAGGGAGTGGAGGCCTGGGACTGCTGAATACCTAGCTCTGGAGATCTGCTCGGGGAGCACAAACCTACATTTCATGGTGCTTTCATGAGACTTGCATGACTACTGGGTTGGAAAGTTGATACAGGTGGAGTTCCTGGGGAGACTGGGATTCTGGCCGCTTGTGGAAAGCAGGGATCCATATCCAGCTGCTCTGGGACAAAAACTTATACCCGTGTGACTGGCCCACTGGCTCAGGCAGTGGAGATAGGCACAGCACCCGGGAGGCGGGGAACAGCTCTTTCGTCCCCCGAGGCACCAGTACCGCTCCCCTGCGACCCCCCGACATTGCTTCAGGCGCAGAGCAGCTCCAGAATAGAGCATCTGGACACTAGAGGGCGCCATATACAAACATGAAAGGCCAAAGGAACCTTGACCAGAGTAAAAAT